GCAAAGCCGGCGACAGTTTCATGTATGTGGACTGTAGGATGGAAAAAGCTGGAGAAACTCTTCCACGCCCAACTACAGGCGCTGCGACTCCGCCACCCGCTGCACCGGTCTCCACCCGAACACCCCGCCGCAGCCGCGAAGATGAAGTTGAGAAGAGGGCTGTTAAACGTGCTGGCAATTCTCAGAGAAAGAAAGACATGGCTGAACGGCTCAAAGAACAGGTAGACATCTCTTGAAAAAACAACGGAATCTAGCTTTAACACGGGACTCCAGGGCAATGCGCTGTTCCGAAAGGGGGACAGCAATGGTGCTGTATCATTTTACAAGCGGGCCATTGCTGTTCGCGGCCCTCAGCCCACGTATCAGGCTAACCTCGCTGCTGCCTATCTAAAATTGGACATGTGAGCGCGCGCCAACAAGAGCGTATGTTCTAAACTGACTCACCGAAGGCATCGGGAAGCTGAAGAAGCATGTGACGAGGCCCTCGAGCACGACCCTGCCCATCTCAAGGCTCGCTTCCGCCGAGGTGCAGCGAGGCTCAATATGTTGTGCTTCAAGGACGCAATGAAAGGTTCTTCATTCATTATCTTTACATCTCCAAATCATTCACGATGGATTTAGATTTCAAGGCGTGCGCGAGACTTGCACCCAGCGATCCTCAATTTGCCGCTGCAATAAACGACACACGCCAAGAATATGTCAAACGGAAAGCTGCTGGATATCGTGACCAATGGGCTGACTCGGGCGGCCAAGACCTTTCGTCTGATGAGGAAAGTGACGACGAGGGGGACGAGTTCGATTTTTTTGAGCCAGGGTTGGACGAAACGCCTGTAGAGATCCTCTCCGACAGCGACTCGAGTGACCTTGAACACGAGGGAAATGGTGTTCCTTGTCGTTTCTACAATCACGACGGGTGCGCAAAAGGATCCAAATGCAGATTTAAACACGCACCGGACAAGGATAGGAAAACGACGAGAGACGAGTTGTATGTTTGGTGATGCTCTTTTGTGGATTAAGTATTCTGACGTCCTTGCAGAGGCCGCAACGTTTGCAACTTCTGGCTTCTCGACGGCTGCCGGTTTGGAGACCGCTGCGTGTATGCTCATTCGAAAGAATATCTGCCGGAGGTTGGTTGGTGGAATGCCAGTGAGGACTTGGATATGATGAAGGACATCATGAAGGACTTGAATCATATGCGCGGCTTTCTTTAGATCAATGGTCTCTAGTTCTCTGACTTTGAACCCAGGCAATTAGCGTTAGTCAATAGCATGATGGTCCGGCCAACTTGAAGCCTCAGCTCGCGGTCCTTGCTACCTCGTCTTCATCAACTCTAGGGGCCCACGCCCAATTCGAAAAATTGTCGGTAGCCAATTTCTTTTAAAACAGATTCGGGGTTTTGACCCAAGAATTCTAGGCTCGTCAACGAACAGGACGTTTCTACAATGCTAGAAAAGTGACAAGCATACAACCGCCATACCACGGCCACCAAACTAGTTCCCAAACAAGTTCCGCCTCCGTGAAATTGTTCTTGTCGATCGCCCCTGACCTTGTCGGGGGCCCATATCGAGGATGTTGCTCGTCGACGTCCATGGTCTGGTACGTATAGTTTCCGTTCCCTCGAACGTTACCCGGGCGTTCGTCACAGGGCATTCGGGTCGACGAATAGCTGTAGCTATTCTACACCTCAACCATAGGTACTTGAACGCTATTCACACCACGGCTTCGGTGCCACTCACCGGCAGGCATGTTCATACTGCTAACTACACGAATCGTAAAATATAAAGTTTCAACGGCGTCTGTTAGCACATTCAAACTCAGGCGTTAGAGTTTGAAGTGGCGTAACCAGCAGGCGTCGGCAAACTCCGGTGGCTCCCGATCTACTTGCCACCAGTCGTGCCCATGCCCATGGCGCTCTTGAAAGAGTCGTATATCCACCACTGGAATCCGGTGAGCGTACCTAGAAGGAAACATCAGATGCTGATCAAAAAATGCAGTGTGGGTTCGAGCGTACCAATCATGACAACCCTGGTGCCAAGTCCTTTAGTGGCCAGTGTAGCGAATCCAACCTCGGATACGATCGTGCCGGCAGATTTGCCCTTGTTCTCGGCCTTTCCGAGGAGAGAAACGAGGGAGTCGGCGGGGTGGGAGACGATGGCGCAGACAACACCGGCGATGTAACCAGACGCGAATGTGACGCCGAGCTGAGTGGGCTTGCTGTATGTCTCCTTGGGCTCGGTGAAGACGTGGGTGTAGAAGAGCTGGACGATCTTCTCGAAGAAGAAGAACTTGGCCATGGTGTACGGGATCTTTGGGTGGAAATTAATTATGAGGAAATCGATGCTCAAGACACGAACCTGACGCGACCAGAGGGGAACAAGGGAGCCAAAGGGGAAACGAGTCTCGGCTTTCGTCGCGCGCATTTGCGCGAGTGCAGCTCCAAAGCCGGTGGGGAAGGTGCCGTTCTGGCTAGTCTGAATCTTGACCTTGGTCATTTCCAACGGACAGAGGGCGATATCGGCGAAGACTTCAGCGGAGGCGGAACCGGCGAGCCAGAGAATGGGCTTGTATTTGTTCGACATCTCCTCGCCAGCGAAGTTCATGTACACGTCTTTGAACACATCGTAGAGACCGTATTTGAACATGCCCTGGAGAGAATAGCCGACGAAAGTAGGGCCGAAACCCTTCCAGATACCGGTTGTCCCTCCTCCTTCATAAGGGTTCTTATGGTCGGGAAGAGGCCGCTGTACTTAAGGGGGTTGACTGTACGAAAGAATGAAAAGAAGGACAAAGCAGTGGGGCTAATATGCCGACCTGCATGTTACATTTTGCGACATCGAGGGGGGTAATTCCGGCATGGGTAATGCCACATGCGAGAGCACCGCCGAGCATGCACTTTGAGTAGTAGTGAGGTCATGAGGAACAGGCCCCGGCAAACCTGGAAGGCGAATGAGAAGGCGATATAAAAGCTAGGGAGCACGGACCTTGCGTCCCACTTCTTGAGGGTTGGCGAGGACATTGGCGTCGCGTCTAGATGAGTCTAGGTCTAAGGTAAAGATGTGAGAGGTCCCCAGCCTCCGATTCTTTCCGACTTGATCACAGGTGACACGACAGTCACAATTGCGATCAGCCGTCCAAATGCGGCCTACTAACGCCATAGGTCCCGATTTGGACACCAGCGCCCCAAAGCTTGTTTTACTCATCTCTCAGGTCAAATACTGTGCCCTCAGTGACCTCGAAAGACAAACACACTTTCAGGTTTTTTCCTGCACCATGGCCGCTCTCTGACGCGTGTTCTTGTTTTTTGGGCTCATTCTACTTAATCAAGATCTTGCGCCCACTCCTTCTTCTTCGCTCTCTCACTCCATTTACAGTAACAGCCACAGATGAGCATCAGTTGTATAAGATATACCCCGTCGCCCTTGCTTTTGTTATATCTCGGGCATCTGCTTTTCGATGACCATCATTCTCGGACCATCTTTCTCGGACTCGTTCAACTCGGAATTCGAGACCCTACACGATGTGCCCACTGGCGATGGAACCAGCTCGTTTGTGTCTCCCCATTACCTCAGAAATGGTCGATCGACCCTTTCTTAAATCGAGCGGGATACATTCCATCAGGAAAATTCCACCTTGGAATGTAGTGCAGCATAGACAGGATAGCTGTAGTAGCCTCGTAGCCAAGTCCCTGGTTTGTAGCCAAGGGCACCAACTACAGGCAGCTACAGTGCTACCGTAGATGAGTTGCATCATACCACTCCATAGCTTTATATGGCTCCAAGAGCTCAAAAGGAGTATCTCACCGAGTTCACAAGAGAAAGAGAAATACAATATGGATTGAATGAGCATACGACTGACAGGTTACTGCATTACCGAAGGCCCGTCACGTCCTGTACAAACACATCCCTGAACCCACAATCCCTGGCACAAGTGCAGGCCCAATTGTCTCGAGCACGACTGCCGGACATGTATATCAGCAGAAATCCAGAAGGGAGGATGAGGAATGGACACACTATCACATAGCACCACTGCATAGCGCGAGGGAAAGCAAAGGAGGCGGCATTCAGAAAATACAGGTGATGGGTGGCGAAGCTTGAGTGGCGAAGCTTGAGGTGGTGAAGTCCTTGACGCGGCGATAGGAGAAAGTGAAGAGGGCTGAGCATGTCAGCTGGCTTGGGAGAAGTTTGCGACGAGCCGGAGGGCCTGCGACGAAGTGAGACAGAGAAACGGGAAGCGGGGAAGTGACGAATTGAGACGGGTTCAGGTGGTGGATGGAGGTGGCGACTTGCGAGGACTTGAGGCGGGGCCTGGCGGGCTGAGAGGTGACTTGACAGGCTTGAGTCGGCTTGAGGTAGCGTGCTTGAGTCGGCTTGAGGCGAACTTGAGGTGTTGCGACAACTTGAAGCTGAAGCTTGATACAAAGACCTAGGACTTGAGGTGGGAAGAGGGCGGGAGACGCGCAAGCGAAAACTGTCTGATTGGATCATGATGCGCACGGACCCTCAGTGGAGCTTGAAATGACTTGGAAACTTTTATCAGTGAACTTCCCCAAAGACAGGTAACCGTCTCATATGAAGATCTTTCACGCGAGTTCGTATGAGAGATCGGTTACCGGTCTACTTATCTCCGACAACCTGAATCAAATTGGGTTCCGATATCGATTTGAACAAGTCCCAGGAGAAAGATTCAGGTGTACGGTTCAGGCTGGTTGAAGGCGCCGCGGCGAATGAGCTCCTGGGGACCATTATCCGGGTCACAAGTAACTATGCTGATCTCCACCGCTAAAGCATGGGTCTATAAATATCTTTGTAGATCTGATTCGTAGCTACTGTAGCATTGTAGAGCTACAGACCTGTAGTCCAAAGCTATTGCTGCTATGAAGTGCTTATTGGTGTATACATATTTAACCGGGTCGCTACTCCCCAGAGACTTTTTCCTGATGTCGCCTTGTACGAGTCAGACTGGACACTCCTTCTACCGCGACGTGGACCCCGAAGGGCAGGGCCGCCGTAGCACAAAGGTAGTGCATTGCTTTCCTAAATTTGGTGACTTAGAAGTCACGTGATTTAAGGCAAAGGTTGTGGGTTCGATCCCCATCGGCGGTTTTTATCTCGGCTGTTTTACTTTTTTTACCTATTCGGAGTTTTGGATTTTGAACCTATCAACGAGGAATCCTCTACTTAGCACAAGATACTACCCTAATCAAGCATTCTAAAATATCCTTCAGCCATTCAAAATTTTCTTTTTTGGGGGGGAGACTGTTCCGACGGCGAAATCGTTTTTAGATAACAAGGCTGAAGATTTGTATGCGCGTCCATGACTTTTGCGATTCGGTTCCTCCTCGAGGTGCTAGTCTCGTGAGACGTAGCCTGGGCTAGTTATAATGCCAAAGCGAATATTGTCGGATAGTTGATTTTCAAACCATCCAATTCATCGTCCAAATGACGTCCGTGCGAGGCCGGACCCGCGACGCGAAATCCTGAATCCAAACCCTGAAACGCTAGGCTCTGAGAGTGTGGCAAAGTAAGTCCATACATCGAAGAGACGCCAGCGAAATTCCAAGATCTCGCCACCTCATTTTTTTTCACCCCGGTTTGAATTCATAAGGACAAAAGTGTTCCATCTGCAGTTCTTTTTGCGCTAAAAACCCGAGAAAGAATGAGACAGGCATTGGAGAATTCGTTACATATTTTGAGCCATGTTTTCGATTCTCACGCGATTGTAGCAACAGGTCCTCAGGCTGGCCAAGATTGGTCCGAGAGGTACGGCAAATACCAGGAACGATTCGAAGAGAAATCCAAAGCGCAGTCTGACACGGTGAAGGGAGAGTGGCACTCCGTGATTGTCGGACACAAGTCGGGACGAATATCAACCGTTCCGTTCCGGATCGGAGGCCAGCAAACAGCCTCGCATCTTTTACCTAGACCATCTAGACGACGCCATGTCCTCGCCAACCCTCAAAAAGTGGGATGCAAGGTCCGTGCCCTCCACCCCACCGTCCCTTCTTCTCATTCCCCCTGCCCTCCAGGTTTACCGGGCCTGTGCCCCATGACCTCAACTACTACTCAAAGTGCATGCTCGGCGGTGTCCTGGCCTGTGGCTTCACCCATGCTGGCATCACTCCTCTCGATGTAGCAAAATGTAACATGCAGGTTCGTACACCAACCCCGCTGCTCTATCCTCCTTCAATTTTTTTTTTCTTTCTATCCAGGTCAACCCCCTCAAGTACAACGGCCTCTTCCCCAGCATAAGAACCCTTATGAAGGAGGAAGGGCAAACCGGTATCTGGAAGGGTTTCGGCCCCACTTTCGTCGGCTATTCCCTCCAGGGCATGTTCAAATACGGTCTCTATGAGGTATTCAAAGACGCGTACATGAACCTCGCTGGCGAGGAGATGTCGAACAAGTACAAGCCCGTCATCTGGCTCGCCGGTTCCGCCTCCGCTGAAGTCTTCGCCGATATCGCCCTCTGTCCGTTGGAGATGACCAAGGTCAAGATCCAGACCAGCCAGAACGGTACCTTCCCCACCGGCTTTGGAGCTGCACTCGCGCAGATGCGCGCGACAAAGGCTGAGACTCGCTATCCCTTTGGCTCCCTCGTCCCCCTCTGGTCGCGTCAGGTTCGTGTCTTTACGCATTCCTCTGGAATCGCACTTATTTCCATACACGAAGATCCCGTACACCATGGCCAAGTTCTTCTTCTTCGAGAAGATCGTCCAGCTCTTCTACACCCACGTCTTCACCGAGCCCAAAGAGACATACAGCAAACCCACTCAGCTCGGCGTCACATTCGCGTCTGGTTACATCGCCGGTGTTGTCTGCGCCATCGTCTCCCACCCTGCCGACTCCCTCGTTTCTCTCCTCGGAAAGGCCGAGAACAAAGGCAAATCTGCCGGCACGATCGTATCCGAGGTTGGATTCGCGACGCTGGCCACTAAAGGACTAGGCACCAGGGTTGTGATGATTGGTGCGTCCAAACCATACATTGCTCGGGTTCAGCGTCTCATGTTTCCTTCCAGGTACGCTCACTGGATTCCAATGGTGGATCTACGATACTTTCAAGAGCGCCATGGGCATGGGCACGACTGGTGGCAAGTAATCCGCACGTCACTGAAGCTCAAAAAACGTTCGTTTTCACTCTTTAAATATGACGAACGTGTGATTGATGCTTTCCCACAGTATAGATACTATTCTATTCTACTTCGTCTCTCTTTTGCGTCTTTTTACATAGAATGGAACGTTAATGCCCGAGCAATGAACATCATGACCCACCAAGCGTCGAGCAGTGAATGTGTCGCTTGTGGGACGTGAGCAACTCAGAAGATCTCAGAGCGTGCAAATTTGAGAGCAATGTTACAAGTCGGCGGCTGCAAACAAACTATTGGGCCTTGGCTTTCCCTTTTTTGTTCTCGCGTGACTCGCCCGCCAACCAGGCTGCAGAAAACAGGAAGAATCCCATGCTGGTGCTGATAGCACCCGCATAATATGGCCACGCAGCGCTGAGGAAGCGCGGGTAGCCATCGTGGCGGGGAGGAACGACGGCAACAGTGGTCGAGCTGTGCAGGTGCGTCCATCTACACTGTATAAGAACAACGCTCACGAGAATCAATAACAAGGCGTACCCTTTCCGTTTGTAGTTGATAACAAATTTGAACACTCCATGGCGATCTGGAGCGCGGAATGTGACAGAGTACTTTCCAGGTGACCCGGGTACCGCCGGAAGAGCAGTGCGAATATGAGGATCCAGCATCGTAAACTCTAGCTGCATGTCGGTGATGCCGGAGTACGGCTCCCAGGTCGATGTTTTCGGGTTAAAGCGGGATATTTCAGCGGTGTAAACCTATTCGAGGTGAGAACCAAGTAAGATGATACCGACACGCCACGTACAATGTTGTCGTTGGTGGTGTACTGCTCCAAGGGCGTCGAGGAGTTGACAAGGTGGTGGGTAGTGCTGTCGATACGCAGCACAAGCGACTCTTGGAACGTCCACGCCGCGAGGTCGTGTGCGAATTTCGCGTTTCCGGACTTGACGCCCTTGGACACTTCCTTCTGGATGAACTTGTCACTAAACATATCGACCCCTCCCACCCAGGCCACCCGAGCGCCCCCGACAGCCTGGAAGCCGGTCGCAACGCTGAGCTGGCTACCCGCCCAAAGTCCCTCGCCGCCTTTTTCGGTCGCGTCGACAAGAACGTCAGCGCCGCCCTCCGAGTCCGCAGCGAAGCTCTCTGCCGGCGCGTTCAAGATCGGCACGAGCAAAGGGTTGTTTCCAAGTGCATGAGCGACGCCAGAGAACCATACGGGTGACATCTTGGGTGACAAGATGAGCGACGACGCGGGTGCGGGGATCGGGATCACGGAAGGTGGGTCCTTGCGCTCAGGGAAGAACGAGACCAAGGGCGTGCCGGGCGGCGGGAGAATGAGGGAGAATTCGGCTGCTAGGGATGCCAATGGTGTTTGTTTTTGAGACAGGGCGATGAGGAGGTTTGTGCCTCCGGACAGCAGCTCAACGAGCGACTGTGGTGTAATGTCTTTGGCAAAGTCTAGGCAACCAGAGTAAATATATTATCTGTCGCGTTAGGAAAAGCCTCACTTTTAGATTCCGATGCAAAGATGATAATGTGAGAGAAGGCTGGGACATCATGCTCAACTACAACTGGTTTCTCGTCCTTGGGTGCCCGGAACGTAAGGTCGTATCCTTGCTCTAGCCAGGCGTCAACCGATTTCATGTAGAGGCGGGTCCAGCGCACCTTTCAGGCCGTCAAAGAAGATGGTAAAGTCCTTCTGGTGCGTTTCCTCTACGATAACAAGTACGGAGTCCCCATCGCTCGATTTGGCGTGCAGAAGGCCTGATAAACTCAGGAAAAATAGGAGGAATGTGTAGAACGAAAGCATAGGTCCAGTCGTGGCAGCCAGCAGGACAGACCGGGAGTTTAAGGCCAATAAATGAAGGTCAGCTTTCCGCGTTCGAGTTACACGTCGGCGGTTTATTTTGGGAGAGTGACGTTGTCATTGCTTGGCTTTGGCCTCTCACGCGTGGAAAAAAATGAAAATGTGAGATATATATATTCACAACGCAATCTGCGAACTATCCAAGCCCAGCGCGTGTAGAAATAGATTCACATTCGCCAGTTTTGTTCGCCTCTCATCCTCGTCCGCCACCCAGCCTTTATTCGCACTCAGCACATTCTCAAGCACCTTGTCCCGCAGGGAGGTCACCAGCACTTGATGCTGCTCCGGAACCGCCTGCAGCGCCAGAGCCGCCAAGAATTGCCATACTGGCTGGTCGATTATGTCGATAGCTAGTGCAGCACTGGTGGGATGATGTGCTTGGAGCGTGATGCGACTTGAAGGGAATAGCGACAGCAAATGGGGCGTGATGAGAAGGAAGAACTGGTCGAATACAGCTTGCCTGCATCTCAGTCAGCTTATCTGAATTTCTCGCGTGAGGAAGGGACCTCACCATTGCTCAAGCGATGCTCCTGCTGTCATAGGATCTACAGGTTCCGCACCGTTCCCCCACGCCTGCTTGATAACCTCCACCCGGCTTAGGAACAGTGTGAGGAGGGCCAGTCCGGGCTATAAGTCGCAATTGGTTATCCCGTTATACATTTACAGCTAAATGGTGTTTACCTTGGTTTTTGCAACAGCGGCAATGTCTTGGCTGCGCTCAATCAGTAGTCCGAGAAGTGCGGTCACAACATGCAGCTCTAGATTGGCAACAATTGGCAGAATGCTCTGCAGGACGCTGCCAAGGAAGGCCTGAGTCTGACGCTCCACTTCAGCACGCTCCGCGGTTTCCTCTAGAACATCTAGCAGCGGTGCCTGCTTCACGACGTCTAGTTGTGTGAAACACGCGACGAGCAGCGTCATAAGAGTGAGCATGCGCGCAGAGCCAATATGTCTGGTAAGACGCGGAAGAAGTTTTTTGCCCTTGCTCGGAGAGAGTAAGGAGACAAAAGGATGCGGGTTACTAGATGCGCAAGGGGATTCAGAAAGGCTCGAGACCGTCGAGAAGGATAGAAAGTGTTACCTGGTTTCCAAAGGTACCATGACCTTTAGCCCTTCCCAGAGCAGCTCAACTAGGTCGTCGTACTCCTTTTGCC